CTCTCTCTCTTGTGCTCTGGGAGCTTGATTGAAATACAGATATTTCTTATAAAAATATATAGCATTTTGCTTTCTTTAGACTTTTCCTTACCTTTGGACTTCCTCTACTTCTGCCTGTTCCCAAAACGTCCAAGACCCAGAAAGTATGATCCATTAATAGAACAGAAAAAGATCAAATGAGATTCCAAAATTAGAAGTTAATGGTCATGACAAGTTGGCCTGGTGGTGAGCATAGCTTTTCAGCATACCTGTTCATGTCCAAAATAAATAACTCAGAAGCTGCAGTTCCATCATATAGGTTCTATAGTTGCAATAAGAGCTGGCAACACCCAAATTCTTCTTTGATTGATATGATCAAAACTTTAAAGCAGAACTGTGTATGTTTTGACTCAATTGAGATGTATGAAATGTTTATTCAGGTCGAATTGGGTATTGGTTATACCTTACTGGAAAAACGTCCTTATTGAGTCTTCGATCCAAAGGGCTGAAGTGCAAAGCTAACCCTAAGAGTTATTGTTAAGCAAAAAAACAAATAAGTGTATATTATATACTCCATGTGGGTCATTTATTAATGTGCAGGGTGCATGACTGGTTGTGGCAGTAACTTGTGTGTCCGTGAACTGCAAACTTAAAAAAAAATTGGACCAACCCATCACTCACCCTAAATCCTAACCTAAAGAAAAAACTAGTATGGATGCTACTTTACTAAAGCCTACAGCAATAAAAAAATGTGTCTCAGGTCACTTGATCCAATGCCCATAACCTGTCATTTACCCTGGGTGTCAATATATGATGACTCGTCAAATATCATTGTTAGGCCGAAAGCATCAATATGTGACGAGTTGGGAATGAGAATGTGTTTACAAAACCGAACAAAGCTACCAGCAATCAGAAACAAAACTCTGCTAAGACATTCTATTATGCATAATGAAAACTTTGATCATGCAAATATTTAATCCTATACTACCTCTTTTTTTGGATAGAGCTAAAGCTATGAAATAGACCTTGCGGCTGAAGACAAAAACCAAACAAAACAAACAATTTTTTAAATCTTTAATTGCCTCTTTAATTTGGATCAATTGGGTTTGATCTCAAAAAAATACAGAAAAAAATTAAAAAACAAAAGGAATAATGGTGATAAAAGAGCAGAACTGATGGTTTAGAGCAGGATTCCTCAGTTAGCCCACTAATTAGTTAGTCCTTCTGAACTTGAATCGAGTTGCTGAATTGTTTCTCCAGTGTGTGGTCAGGTTCTCCAGAGTCCTGTTGATCACCTGTTTATTTGACTCAGGTGTGTTGAAGCAGGAAACCTCTAAAATACTGTATGCAGAACAGCAAACTCTGAGCACCAGAATTAACGATAGAGTAAAGAAGCAAAAAGGTAAGTAAAAGAAACAGAAACTGAGACGTGGAGAAGCCAGCAGGCTTTGGCA